AGACTTCTTTTTTAAAAAAATATAAATGAGTTATATACATAAGTTTAAAATATGAAATAGTTCTGGAATATTTACAATAAATTTAATAATTGCTCTACCAATTATACCTCCCTCGATCACATATTTTCTTCCAATTTCTACTCTTACGTTGTACTTTACAGTAAAGATTTTTGAAAGAATTGTGCGTACACACTTTATTTACTCACATCTAATTCTTTCTTTATTACTCTTATTAAGGTCACTAATAGCTCTGTGTTGCTAAATTCAATGACCACATTTAAGCATTAATCAAAATGGTTGACTGCTCCTTCTTTCTTTTTTTGTTTTCGCACTTTTAAAATAATTTTATTTTTCAGTTACAGTTGACATACAATTTTATATTAGCTTTAGATATACAACATATTGATAGACATTTATATAACTTATGAAGTGATCACCCTGATAAATCTAGCAGCCAGTTGCTCCTTCCATCTTGAGTCATTCTTTTCTTTTCCTTCCTTGATCTCACACTCAAGTTTTCCCATTTGTCTTCAGAGGCTTCTTCTAAGCATTTTTTTTTTTTTTTGGCAGTTCCTCCTCCTTATTTCAATATGTATATCATTTTTCCCTATCATTTAGAAGATTGATGAGAATGGCATCTCGGATTCAGCTTAAATTATTTTTACTTGGGTTCATTACTGAACCAGCAAATAAGCAGTATAAAATGCTTACAAGGTATGGGTTTAAGTGAATAAGTGGGCACAATGCCATGTGCCTCCACAGTTCCTCATGAGATGGGCCAGAGCTTTCGTAGTCAATGTAGCTTATGTGGAGGAAGTAATCCACCAGGTCACAGAAACTCCTAGCTTCCATATTGTTGCGTTTTTTATTTTTAGGGTCTCCTTACTACCATGTAAGGAAATTCCTTGTTATGCCACAATAAATCGTCATTGTATACTTCCATTGTTGCGGTGGCTTTGCTGAGGAAACTTGGAAGAACTAGAACTACATCTTCCAGAAACTGTATGATTTTGGGTTGGGTTCGATCAAAAGAGATATTTGCTTGAAATTTGGAAGGCAGGAGTAAAACAGCAGCCATAACTATCTGAAAGTGAGTCAATAGGAGGCAGTAAGAAACAGATGCAGGAGGGCTGGCATCCTTGCTCTTCCCCACACCATGTCCTGCTCTTCTTTCTAAATACTGGCCTTGCGACCTGTAATGATTCCAGACCCACCACAAGATGCTTAGAAACAAACCGTCAGAAGTGCTAGCTCTGCAGAGGTAACAGTCTTCCACAGCAGCCCCCTTCATGGTCCCACTCCAGTTCCTGGTCTTGCTTAGCTTTCAATATCTAACATGAAACACCAACTCCAGTGATTTAGGGAGGTTTGTTAGTAATTTTTTTCTTTAGTTCTTTACTCCCCAGCTTTACTCCTATTGTAAATTCCCTATTCTGTAATTTCACAAATGGTTCCCTGTTCTTTTTCTCTGATGAAACTCTAACTAATACTATTATTGGTTGGTTATTTATACCAAACTATTCCAAAATTTGTTGGCTTGAAACAATCAACAAATTTTATTTATGATTCTGTGGGTTGACTGGGCTAAGGTAAGCAGCTATTTGCTGTTCTTAATTAAAGTCTGGTGACCATAAATGGAATCGTCTAGGGGCTTAATTAATCTAATGCTTTGAGTAAAACCATTTTAAAACTTAGTGGCTTTAAACAACAACCATTTTGTTTTCTTCATGATTCTGTTGGTTGGGCTTAAATGGGAGTTTCTTTTGTTGGTCATGCTTAGAGTTTGATAATTGCAAATGGAATCATCATGAGGCTTGATTGGGAAGCAGAGATAGTTTGGCCTCTTTTATTCTCCATATGGTCTCATAATCTCACCAGAGTGGTTTCTGCATCATTATAGTTGAGTTTTGTACATGGAAGCTCAGGGGTCCCAAAAACACAAAAATGGAAGCCTTCATCTTTTCTGCTACATTCTATTAATTAAAGCATGTCATTGAGCTAGACCAGATTCAAAGTAGGAGGTGACTACACAAGGCCATGTAGTATATTAATAATAATAATAATAGGTATTTTGGATTTTTAGAGATCATTGTGGAGACTAGCTACATACTTTTCTGCTTGGCCTGCAAGTAGGCCTGGCTCACTTCACTGTTACTTTGAGCTGTGATCTTCCTAGTCCCATTTTATACAGATATCATAGTACACGTTCATCAGGCACTGTGCTTTGGGTCCCACTATTTGCAAGTGCTCTGTTAACTCACTCTGGCCTGCAACACCAACCATTACAAGTAGTATGAGTAAGAGCATTGGAAGGTGGTTTTCTTGATCTTGGCTGAGCAGCTAGGATTGTAAATATGTATCACCTCTCAGTACTACAGTTTAAATGAACACCTGGGGGCAGATATTTAGCTTGTGACACTGCCAACTCCCCACCTTTAGGGGTAGCAGCCTGTTGGATGCCTGCTAGAATGAGCTTTTTTTCCATTCAGGAATTTTGCAGTCAGTTCAGTCTCTGGGGTTTAGAAGGGGTTGTCTTTCCAAAATAAGGTTACCTCTCTTCCTTTACTGGGATAGCTTAGATTTATTTTCTGTAGCTAGATTCCCTTCCAGAGGTGATGGCCTCAAGGTTCCATTTCCAAACCTGGTAATTTTTTTGTAACTAGATCAACTATTAGATCATGAATCACGAACAGCTATATGGCTGTTATGGAAAGCCCATACAGAACCTCCAATTGCAGGTGCTATCACTAGTTTATTCTAGACTATAGTCAGGGCTAGCTTAGTGGGCATGAGACTTATGCATATGCACAGAGCCCTGGTTTTAGAAGATCCCTGTACTTGGTTTAGTACTTTGCTGTTTCTATCTTGAAATTTTTATTAATTTTTGAACAAGGATTCTTATTTTCATTTTATACTGGGTCTCATAAAATTTGTAGCTTGTTCTTACTACAATGGTAATCATTCAGTTATTTTTCTGAATCCTACTGATTCACAATTAGCTACTGGATGTAGTCCTGGAAATAGATCTAAACCAAGACCTGCCATGTGATGATAGAGTCCAGTACTGAGACCCACCTGAGCATAGCTATTGCACTAGGGCATCTGGGAGGGTAATAACCAGGTTGGTAGGCTTTGCTTCTAGAGCTGTGGAGTGGATGGGTTAGAAGGACACAGGGGAAGTCTAGCTGTTGTGTATTATTTCTGTTGCAACACAGAATTTCAGGCTTTTATTCCCCTCTCAGTAAAAGGCCAGTGTAACGCAGGAGCCCCAGGCCTGAAACTTGCACCTGGGTTTGGATATTCTGAAAGAACCACCTGGAGGACCAGAGGGGTGAGAAATGCCATTTATTACTTACAAAGGAGGGAACCTTCAGCAACGGCTGGTTGAAATTGCAGGAATAAAGCTGCTAACCAAGAGCAAGCGGAGTTTTTTATGCCCATAAGCAGAGGGTAGGGTTATCTCATTGGGCGACAGCCACCTTCTCAGACAGATGGGAGCGAGATGTGCTGCTTGGTTACAGGAGCAGATGACGTCAATGGGAGCAATAAGAAACATCCTTGGGAGGAGGCGCTGCTGAAAGCTCTTTATGCACTGCCTTCCTTGGCTGTTGGCCGGGCAGCTCTCAGTCTTCTATGTGGAGGGGCTGTGTTCTGAGTTAACCCTATAGCCAGGTGTCCTACGCTTACCCCTTTCATACATTTTCTTCATGTTCATCTGTACATCCATAGCCATTAGCACTGGCTGTGTAGGTGCCAGCCCACTAAAGTAACTAAAGTGCTGATAGACCTTCTGTTTCAACAGCACAGTGTCTAAATATGCTATTGCACAGCTCATTTTCAATGAATGCTATGAGAGTAACTCAAACCTTCCCAGTAATTAGGGGTCTCCCACTTATCTTCTCTTCCTTTGTTTCCTTAACTACTTCCAATTTAAACCACAAGACACTTTTTGTTAAGACTGTTAATTATACCAAACTAATTGTCCCAGGCCTAAAAGTCTGGTCTGTGTTTAAAGTTTGTTAATATGGGACTCAGTTTATATGGCTTTCATTTTGGTTTACTTCCAAACCAGCGAATAATTCCTATCAAAGGCTACAATAGATAAGGATGCAAATGATGGATGCTGAGCTTTGTGCTTCTCTAAATCCTCAGGGAATTGAATTATGGTGGTAAAACTCCCTGTGCAAAGTGAGAAAACCACCAGTTGGGGGAACAAGGTAACCTATATGTTTATAAACTTGGACTCAGTAGTCTATCTACTCCATGAATGGAAATTCTTTTGGCACCGTGGTAGGCCCATGCTCTGTGTTCCATTTTGTTTGCATCATTACAGTCTCTGGCAGCCCTGGCCATGTGAACCCACTCTTCCCAACCTACATTCTATCTTTAATTGATCTCATTCATTATCATGGTCATGACTCTTAGGCTATGACTCTGAGCGATAATTAAAATATTATATTCTTTAAATTTTAGTTTTCTTTATCTGAGATATATATGATTATATTGAATTGAAATGAGAGAGACTATGGTTTGACAGGTGGTAACTGATTTTTTTCCTAGTATCCATATCAATGAATTACAGTAAACATGACTTTATTCATATTGTGTATAGTAGTATGTAATTGGAGACTTTGGATGAATACAGTAACATCAATTTATACTTAAAACTTCCAAGGCCAAACTCATTTTTTCTCAAATATATTTTTCTTGCTTTCTTACACTTGTATTTGACTACTTAAATAGACAATTTTAACTTTTTGGTGAAATTTGAAGTATCATTTTAGACAACTTTTGTATCAAATAATGCACAACCTGGTATCAATATAAAAAGGTCTTTATTTATCACTTTTTCTGATAGAATAATGAGTAAATAAAATTGTTAAACTTTAACATTGACTTATGATTTTTCAAATACCCCTGAAAGTATATACTTAATCAAAGTATCCCTTCCAAGATAAATTTAAAAATTCAGAAATATCCACTTTTGTTGTTGATGTTTTTTAAAACTGTGTTCTAGGTCTGCTTGAATTTCTTTTCTTGTTTGAGACACAAATGGTGATACCTAAAATAACAAGAACAATTACCACAGATCCAACCACTATCAACACCAAAAAAGAAAAGCTAACTTTGGAATTAGGGTAATTTTCATCAGGAGTAGGATTTGGATCACTTTCATCAGGATCTGCTTGAGGAATAAACAAAGCTACTTGTGCAATATTGGATACTTTTGATGTCAAATTGCTTTTATCCACACTTTGAATGGCAATGAATATGTGGGTTGCATTTTCTTCTGAAATATTTCCTGGTTTAAATGCAAATATTTCCTTGGAGTTGGCCTCCTTTGGTGACAGATCCGTACTGTTTACTTGCAGAGCATCTTCAAAATTGTCTCTTAGATCCAGGATACTTCCACTTATTCTTATGATATACTGTTGAACTAAGAAAAAAAGTTATGTGTAGCTTAGAAACTAGAGTATATTAAATTTCTGTTTATTCATTCTCCTCAGAAATATTGTTTAATTATCCCAAGCTTGTACTCCTATCAAAGGCCTTACAAATTTTTCAGTATAAGCTGAACTTATGTTTAAACTCTGTTTAAACTCTGCCAAATTCTACCTTCTTTGTTTGAAAATGGGACTAGTTAAAATGTGTCATATTTGATTGATTAAAAAATAAGAGATTATAAAATTAACACTTTACCAACTTATCATTTAAAAATAATTCTCCTCCCACCCACCCTTATGCACTTGCTTTTGCATGAGCACCTTTCACTTAATCAATGCCACATGACGCTTTATCCTTACCTTTTCCAACATCAAAATCATCTCCTGGTGCTGTCCATGTTAGACTGATCACATCCCCAATAGGTGTGGCCTCAAGGTCTGTGATTTGACTTGGTGGATACAGGTCAGGCAAGGGAAATATTGAAACATTTGAAACCACAAATGCACCTCCAGACACTGTTCTGATGAAACTCTCCAAGTTTGTCTGAGTATCCTCATCAATTTCAGGTCTTGGTGGATTCACTTCGATTGTCCCTGCATTAAAAATGTCCTTGTTTGTAATGAGCACAACACTACTGGTATTTTCAATAGAATTCACCATCCCACTAGTCTTTTCCTTTTTTTTTTTTTTCCGTTATATATACACAGTCACATTTTACTAAGTTTTGTGACAAAGTCTTAAACATCCAATTGTCGGGAGAATTTTTTTCTTTAGCATTCTGACCAGCATATTGTAGGATATAATTGCATAGTTAATTGCTTTGGAATTAAGGCTGCCCTGAAAGGGAATAATATTATATAATTGAATATATGCTTTTCTTTTTTTTTTTTAAAAAAGAAGAATTTATTTTTTTTTCCCATCCAACCACTTGTGCCAGGTTTTCCCCTTCCACCCTGCTGCAAGTACTGTGGAATAATACTTTGGTTTATATTCCACTTGTCAACATAAAAGTCAACCACAAGATAAGAGACAAGACAAAGGAAAGTTAATAAGGAATGCATTCATAATCCTTCTCATCACCTTGACTAATACATTTTTTCTTTCGACTGAATAAAAAATAAAAAATAATCTTTTACTTATTTAAGTGTCTTTTACAGTATATAACAAACTGAAGGATAAATTTTGCCACTGGCTTATGCTGAGGTACATAACATATTAGTCTGTTTCCTTCATTCTGAGCTGGAAATCTGGCATATTGTTTTTAATATAGATAAGGTGCTCCAAGCTAATATAATAAAGGCTGAAATTTATTGAATGCTTACTAGATGCCAGGCACTGTACCAAAGCTTAGGTTAATTTAGAGGCAAATCCCAGTTATGACTGAGAACTTCATTCTAGAAATGGGAAAAGCAATACTTTGAGTTCTAAAATGTTGGAAGCCTTAATCATATCAACTCGCAGTTATTCCAGTGAGCATAGGGTTTCAGATATCATGAGTTACTCACCATTCACTACCCAGCCTGGTATATATGCAGCTCTATTCGGTGAATACCTTAAGTTTTGTGTGGCAGTGCTTGCTCCTCCATGAGCCCTTACTTTTAAGCTATATCTGCCATTTTCTGAATAAGCTGTAAAATACCTGGAGTAGACCCCATCATTTTTGAAAGTATCAGCACCTAGGTATAGAAATTAAGGAATAAATTATTATTGTAAAGAAAACGAGAAATATAAGCATTTTCTAAGCCAAACATATTGCCTTTCTTAATAAGCGTATCCTTTAGATTGACTCCCTGTTTTGTGATTGACTCCTTGGGGAATATTTCCATTATGCTCTATCAACCACTATCTTGTTGAGTTGATATCCTTGAGTTATGATATATTTATATACATATATGTACACACATATGTAGTTATATAGTTGCATATAGTTATGTATATATGTATTATATATATTATTTTATAATATATAATATTACACACATATACACACACTGATACCTATATGTATATCTTCACCTTATCAACTTATATGCAGGTAATTAGAATACTCTTCTTACCATTTCTCAGCTAAATGGTTTGCTTGAAGATCTTACTATACCTAAATATATAATTATGTCATCTCTCTGTTCATATCAGAAAGATCTCCATGAAAGAAAAAGTATCTTTGCATAGGATTTATTTCTCACTATAGTCACCTACAAATTACTTATTTTGATTTATCTTCAACCACTCCTTTTAAAAAAAATTTTCACCTCTTGCTTTATGATCCGTTAACTCCCTAGTCTGATAGTGGAAAGACCCATCTGTTATTAGAATAAGCAGTTGGGGAGTTAAGGAATAATGTGTCATAAATATATTTTTTGATATCACTGGGACTGAAGTTATTTGGTAAATTACAAACACATTTTTCAGGGCATTTAAAATTTTAAGGCAGAGGTTCTTAAAATGAGGTCCTTGGACCAGGATCATCTGCATCCTTTTGGATTGTATTAGGAATGAAAATTTCTTAGGCTGCCTAGGGAAGAGCCTAGCATTCTGTGTTATAACAAGCCTTTCAGGTGATTCCTTTGCATGCTAAAGTTTAAGAACCCCTGCTCCAAGTCATTACCAAGTCTTAGGTAAAGGCATTCCAAGTTAGTTAAGTAGCTACCTGGTAAAACCTTGAGAAATGACAAGATACGGGTAAGTTTTAATGTAACGTGGAAGGGGCTGGAGGAAAAGGAAGAGTCAGGGGAGAGTTGAGGAAAATACTATAATATCAGATGAAGACACTGTGGTGCATCAAAGAATCATTTTACTTTCTAAATTTTTCACAGGGCCAACTCAATGATAGGATTATAAGTTGACTGAATTAATTACATTGCAAAAGATAGAAATCTCTGATAATTCAGACATTTATTTATTTATTTTTTCCTTGCTTACTGAGCTCTTCTTAAAAGAAGGTTCAGTTTTCAGAATAATCCAGAGTCTAGGAAAAAGGTCTTTAAGCACCACTCACCCATACAGACCAGGGAGACAGCATGTCCACCACTGTCTTCTTTCCTATCAGTCAGACCAAGTATCTGATGTCCTTGTGATGTCCCCTTTTGTCTGCCCTTGGGCTTCAGTTCCCAGGACTATATTTGTGCTTTGTTCTGGCTATTGAGAATTACTCTTGCCTGTCTCCACTTCTCTATCAGGGGCTCAAGTTCTACCATTTAACCCTATGGGGTAGCTATGCTTCACTCTCTCTGGCCAGATTTTCTTGGTGGTGTGCCCCTAAGAAACACTTGATCAGAGTTCTTGATGCTGTTCTCGTCTCCTGAATGAGACATTGATTATCTAGGTGACAAATAATGATGACAGTAAATAATATTTATTCAGTGCTACTAATGTAGGGAGGAGGCAAGAGTATTAAAATGTTAATAAAGCCACATTCAGAGACTGCAAGATGCTGATCAGCCCTGCGGCCAGGTCAGGAGGAAACCTGTAGAACAAAAGGAGATTTCGGCTGAGATTACTAACCCATTCCCCATACCTGTGAGGCAGGAAAACGAACCAAGAGTCATTCCCTGTGGCTAAAACCATGGGGAACGTATAGATTAAAGCCTGGGAACTGCCAGCAGGCCTTTCACTCTACATATTCTTATCTTTTCCATGTGGCATAGTCTTCCCCTTCCTCACTGTATGTCAGTATCAAAGAAAATGGAAACTAAAGAATGACATAAACTGAATTCTCTGGGTTCCTCTCAGTGCCTTTAATTTACTCTGTCTCTTACACTATCCTTGTCTCTGGTGTCTCTGTCCCTCTCAGTCCCTCAGCGCCTTTACTCTGTCTCTCTCTCTGTCTCTCACACTGTCTCTCTCACTCTCTGTCTCTGAGAAGAGACCACACTCTGTCTGTGGAGTGTTACCCCTTTTCTAATAAACTTTCCTTTGACTCTAATTTTGGCGTGTGTGTTAAATTCTTTCTTCACTCTCGGCCAAAGAACCCTCTTCTTTTCTCAGTACAGAGCTTGGTCTCCTCCTGCTGCCCGACTTGGGGAAATTTGCCCTGTCCTGCATCACTACTACGTACAAGACACTTGCTAATCAATTTGTGGGTTTTACCTGGATAGAATTTCCTTCTAATCCTGCTGTTTCTCCATAATCTGCTTCAATTCTTCTGGTGTCTTTCACTTCCCCACACTGCCACAGAGCCCCATAACATGTCCTGAGTAATGAAAATATAGGCTTATTCATAAAAAATCCATTACCTGCACCATTATCCAAAAGTTCCAAAACTTGTGTTTTTCCACTATTCGATTCAATGAATGCAGTCACATTGGCTCCAAGAATGGGTGTATTTCCTTGTAAAATTTCTGCATAAACAATCATTGGACTGGGGAAACTATTTGTGTCTTTATTCATTTTAGCATTCAGTGTGATTGGAGGCACAGAAGAATTTGCTGCCCGAGAATTAACTGTTATAGTTAATGTTTCCAAGTTTGCATTGGTTCGAAGACTGTAAGTCCAAACTCCCACCTAAAAATTCAATGGAAACATAGTAAATATCCAAGATCAAGCTATTTTCTGTATTTCCATGATCGGAGTCTAAAACAAATCTTGTAAATGTGCTGCAGAATAAACAGGGTTTTAGGATTTTGAGGTGTTTTGAAGGTAAAAGGATGAGAGATGAGGCAGTTTTGACAGGGCATCCTGGCTCTTGTCATGCACTGAGTGGCTACTGTCCAAACTTTGTGAAATCTCAGCTGGGAAAAGTAAATTTTGGAAAGTTCATCTTGGTCTTGGCCTTATTCTTTGACCTCGGAGTTCCCAGATTCCATGATTTGGTAATGCTAATCAGGAATGGCTATCTACACACCAAGTTTCACAGTCTCCCTATATTGCCTCTTGAAAGTTATTCTTAGCCTACTTAATTTTTTCCCTTCTCTTTCTTTCTCCAGATGCATAAGTTTTTCATCCTCTTTCCTGCCACCACAATTTTCAGGACCATATAGGCATAGAAAGTACATTGTATTTTATTTTAATCTTGAAGATGATACAGGTATTGGTACAGATTTAGGATATAGGATTTAATATCCTATTTAGGATATTAAACAATGAATTTTCAGCTATGAAACAAATTTGTGAGGAAGTATAAAAGCTGATTGCTTACCTTTGCAGTTCCTGGAATACTGAGATAGGCCATTTTGGAAACTCTGTCCACTGTGAAACTTCCCGTTAGTGTTCCATTGGGATCCCAGAGAGAAATAATGGGAGACTCTCTGACCCATGTGACGAGAAAGAATGTGTCCTTTCCCACAGTGCTATCAATTATTACAGTGCCATTCATCCAGGGATCATTGTTCAGCATTAATCCCTTACTTTCAAGCTGTTTAAATATATTTTAAAAGTTAATGACTTGAGAAGAGAGTAATTTTATTCTTTATTATTTTGTTTTTTAACATGATTCTTAATTTCTGGACTGAGGACAAGCTTATATAGAGCATACTACCTTAGGCTTGTGATGTCTCTGAAAGCTGATTGGGATATGACAGTTGTTAGAAAGTGTGGAAATATAGGGTCTGAGGAAAGGACAGAATATAATAAAAGCATTAAAACAGGAGAATGTGTTTTACAGTTAGAGACATGGCCCTATTGTTTTTTCCCAATTGTTTTGGTAAACACCCACCTGAGACTTTAGCGTTCAAGGATGCTACAGCCTCAAAGATTTGCTGTAGGGGGTGTGTGTATGTGTGTGTGTATTACTCTAAGTTTACCTATCTTCATGATGACTTCAAAGAAAATAATTGGTGGTGGCTAGAGTATTTGAGTACACACAGTAAGGTGGAGCCTTAAGAGAGAAAATTGGGACTAGCAAATAATGAGACAAGCGCTCCTGGATAGTTTCCTGATGTGAAATCTTTAAATAATTTTTAACATATGATAAAGTGAATAGCACTGGACAATAAACATGTCCAACAAGAGTGTAAAGAGGGCAAAATGATGTTTATGAATGTTGGAATCCTGAGAAGTGAAAGTTAGGACCCTTCTATTACAGGAACTTCAGAGAAAGTTTTTCAAGTCTTTGTGGATGGTTCTTAGTCAAGGAGAATCAACTTTATCCACTGACCAGGAAGGTGTCATTTCAGGAAATGATGGAAAATCCCTCTTTTACTCCAACCCAGCCCTAAACCAAAAATACCTTCATAGCAATGCTGAGAGGAGAGAGTGAATTCTATCATTGAAACATCATTGCAATGACAAAACTCTCAGCCCTATGTTAAGTGGGCATATCTTTGAGTGGACAAAGTATTATTATCAAGTTAAATCTGAATGTGAGTGACTTTTAGATTCCTCATCAGGAAAGTGTAAGGAAATTAGAAGGCTTTGGCTACATAGTAGTACTGGGGGAAAATAACTGAGTAAAGAGTGGGGCACAACATTTCCTGTGTATTCCAGCTGCCATTTTAAGTGTGGGAAACAAAACCTTTTTTCTTCCCCTTCCATACTGTTTAAAAAATCCATTCTCAAACACTTTGAGCACTTCCTGCATGTAAATGTCGTATTTCTGGCTGATTTTCCACATCCTGCTCTTATACTTTAAAATTCCTTTGGAATATTCCATTTTAATGTCCCTCCATCCACTAAAAGTTACTAAGGTTAAAACAGAACACAAAATAATATCCTCAAAATCAGTTCTCCCTCCTTACTTATCCATTTGAGATAGTAATATCATTACTTTCTAAATCAACCAGATTTAAACCATCAGAAATTAGCTTTATCCTCTTTCGGTTTATTCTCCATACACTGCCAAGCTAGATCCCAGACCAGTTTTTAATCTCTTTGCAGGGTGACGCTACAAACCGGATCTCTAAATCAATCTGCACATATAATCCTAACCCTGAATTCTATAACTTACATGCTCTTTATAGAGTAGAGAAAAATAGGTTTGTTTAGGTGATCATGTCAAGTTTTAATATAGGCAGTGACTTGATGAACTGGAAGATAGAAGACAAGTCTTCACATAAAGTGACATGATATAGACTTGGTGGGAATTGATATGGATAGAAACAGAATTTTGTAAAAAATATTTTGAGGGAAACAGAACAGTTGGCGTTGACATTTTACATGGAACATGAAAGAAGAATCGAAGTTTAGTCAAAGTTTTTTAATCTAAGTAACAGAAAATGGGGGTGTTATTTAAATACAGATGAAAAAAGTTGAGTTCAGAAGAGAAGTGAATAAAATAGAAAGCCAGTGAAAAGAGTGGTTGAAGAAATAAAGAAAACCCTAAGTTTTTAGATATGCAATCATTATTCACTCTGTTTCTTCATGTAAATTTATTTCTAAGATACTTTGTTTCCATTTCCAAGCCTGGTTCTTGAGTTCATTCATCTCATTTACATTTATTTCACAGCAGCGAAGGGTGGGGGGAAAACTTGGAAACGATAAGTTTTTTATGCATTCATAGAAATATGGATGCTATATTATTAGACAAAGTCTATTATATGAAAATTTAACATTATTAGGTTTTGAGGTTGTCCCTTACCCAAACTCTATGGGAAAAGAAAAAGAAAAAAATATGTCTTCTATTTCATTACTTACTTCACTATTTTACTACTTCATTTGGTTATATCTAAAGAATAATTTCTATCTCATACTTACAATTTACTTTGAGAAAAACATAGAATTCAAAACTTATAATAACCAAATTATTATTTTTTTTGATTGTGGCTAAATGCAAACACAGAAACCCGAGGAGTGGGAGCTCAGACCTGAACAGACTGCTGGGGAATATCAGTGTTTCCTGATGCAAGGGCCCCGAAAGCATCAATGAGGCCGTTGTTCTCGGCTTGATCTGAGGAAAAAAAATGGCTTCCTCCTAAAATATAAATACATTAACTAGGTTGCTTTCTGGAAAATAAATACTTATCACAATTTAATGATTTTAAGATAACAGGATCAACAAAATTATAACTTTAGTATATATTACTAAAATAGACCAAAACCCATCAGGTATAAAGATTAACTGAAATATTAAAAATGTCATAACCGGGAAGCGTAAGCTACCTTTTTACCTCGCTTATAGAAATCTCAGCTGGATGAAATGCATCAAGTAATCATAGAATATCAAAAAAAAAAAAAAAAAAAAGATGTTACAATTCTATGTATTAAAGCTCACAGACTTTCACAGCCCTTTAGAGGAATTATTCACTTTTGTGTAAGATATAGTTCTAATACTGTTGGCCTTTAGGTTTTTCAGCCAGAGTGGATCAGACTCAGAAAATTAGAATGGTTAAAGAGCTGCTATATTGAGGTATCCTGACAATAGCTGGCAATGAGGATATAGAAAAATGTTAAGCAATAGAGAAAAGTCCAAAAAAGCACTACTTTTAGAGGGCTACTTGAGATAGAAATAAAATTTACAGTGGCTATGAAAACACTTTAAAACAGTGGGGGCTTACACAACTAAGCATTCAAAAAGCAAGTATATGTTTGGTACCATTAGAAGCCAATTCAATATAGTAATTGATATTCATAATGTTATAAATTATGAATTCTCTACTATGTTTAAGAAGGCACTGAAAACATGTAGTACATTTTAATCATATGTCTCTGTATCTAAGGCAACAGCTACCAGAGTAAATGTTTATTTAGATACTTCCCTGTTGTTTAGATCTATTTAGCCTGAGCCTCTGTTAATCCCCTTTCTTCCCTACCCCTGCAGCCTAAGCAAACTCTGATATGAAGGATTTCTCACCGTGCCTCCCTGTGCTTTGCGTTGTCATCTCAACATGATTTTTTTACTCATGACCTGATCATCTTTTCTACCCACTTTTCCTCTAAAGAAATTCAATATCTTGTTTAAGGCCCAGCTCAGAAGTTACCTTGTCTTTTATGCCTTCTTTCCCTGACTCTATACAATCCTGGGAGAATTAATGGCTTTCTCTGCTCACACAGTGCTTGAGTCTTATATATTCCTCCTGTTAAGGAGGAATGTTATCTGATTATGCTATCGGATTAATGGTTTTATTTGTCTCTCCATCCTGCTGGACTCAGAGATCAGGTCTAGTTTAACGCTGGTCTGTAGCTCCTGGCATAGCACCTACAGAGCTTGAAAGAAGTTGTTGAATTGTCAGCCTCTACACTTATGTGTTGCTATCAAAAGACTAGAATATATAGGTCATATTTTACCTGTTATATTGCTCATCTGTATGACTGCTGCATCAGCAGATGGTCCCAAAGCAATAAAATGAATTATGGCCCCACTTTGTTTCACTTTATCGACACAATTCTTTGCAGAGCTATCCTCCCCATCAGTCAGCAGCACTATTTCAGATCCATCTATTTGAGGGTATATTTCTCTAATTACCTGCAAACATAATCAGAGCATAATTACCAAATGTTTCTAGATCAAATAGACTTATAAGAGATTTGAAAAAAATGTACAGTGAAATAAACAATAGTGCGCAGGAAAGAAGACACAGCTTCTGTTTTACAATGATAGAATCTGTAATCTACAACCCCTAGGGGAATTTAAACATGTCTGTATTTTCTGTCAATCTGCTTTAGGGAATATTTGCTCAAATGACGTTATGAAGTTATATGGGAGCAGGGCTTTGGAACATCTTACTTGAGTTAAATGACAATGACATTTCAGTCTGGGGAAGTCAGGTCAACCAGACACCAAAAAACAAAAAACAAAACAAAACAAAACAAAAAAAACCTAAATGTGGCATTAAATATTTCTCTTCTTTCCTTGACCAGACTTCCCTCTGACAAGGCTTCAGTATGTAAAGTCTGTTGCATAAACAGCTAAATGCATTAAGAATCCACCTCACCATTTAAAAAAAAAAGTTAACGATTCCAACTTAGGGAACCCTCAATATGCTCATAGAAAAAAAGATATAGAAAATTCTAAGCAGGTCAACGTTAGGGAACTTGTTATACATATAACTTTTATTTTACCCTTAAAAGGAACAAGCACGAAACTAAGTATATTGGTCGTGCTCAGAGAATATGTGAATTACATTTATTAAATTTTATTTGTGGCTTGAACTCTTTTTCTACAAAGCCAAATAGTTTATACTCAGAGTTCTGAATCTAGGCTCCTATAAAAAAGGATAAAGAGAATTCATCACAGGATAGCAACTATATTTCATCTTCTCTGACAGGTTTAATTAGTAGTGGCCTCTTGGTATATCATTTTGAGAAATTGAATCCAGGCCAGGAGGTAAAAATGACAGATTATCAGTGGCTTTCCTGGACTTGAAACAGAGATGTATAGATTTGCAGAAAAAAGGTTTGGAATCTCTAGTACATCTGGGGTTAGGGAACAACATGACCAGCCTCATTTCAATTTTTGCATGTTTAGAGGCAAAGAATGATATATATATATATATGCATTCTTTGCATATATATTATATATTGCATAATATATGGGAAATATGCTCTGACATGCATTAAAACAAAACTAAAAACTAGAAATTTGTTTTATACATTTACAGCATTTATACAGCATCCGCACCACATTCCCCCTACACATTTGATTGAAAAATGAAGATCTAAAGATGAAGTAGAGTTCTCTCTGCTTCGCCTGTCCCTTTCTTGTATTAGTTATTCACTGAGCACTTAATATGTGTTAGTCACTGTCTTGGCTGCTGGGGATTCAACAGGAAGAACTACATGGTTCCTGCATTCATGAAAAGAATAGAATTAAATTTTAAAATGTTCATTGAAATATAACTAGGCATAATTGTGACAAAGAAACAATTAAAATATTCCATAGTTCAAGAGAAACAATGGGGAACAATGTGTAAGTAAATTGGTTAGAGCATCAGAAGGAGAGAACTGAGAAAAAAGACTGAAAAAGGATGAGAGATATTTGAATAACATCAGATTAAGAAATTCAGACTTAATTTTATAAGCTGTGGGGGGGATGAAGTTTTCTAAGCAGAAAAATGACACATTTGGTATTAATTATAAGCACAAGATGACAATTTAGAAAAATATAAGATTTTTAATAATAGTTGTGAATTATATATTTACTATGTAATATAATAAATATTGTTTTAAGTATGTAAATATATAATTTCATTCAATCCTCATAATAATTCTACCAGGTGGGCATTCTTATTTTCCTGCATTTTATAGTTAAGGCATTGAGAGTCCAAAGATACCAAAAATGTTGCCCAAGATCACATAGCTAGTAAATTATAGAGCCAGTAGTCTGATATCAAAACTCATGCTTTCACCAATATTCCTTACCCCAAACTAATAGTCCCTGCTACATATGCTTTACTAGATAAACATCAGATTGTCGTAACTAAATGACACAGAAACTGAAATGAGGATTGGCCCAAAGTGGAATCATACCATTAAACTTGTTTCATCGCTTTAAAAGTTGATGACTTTTTCTGCCAAAGCACAATTATTTATTTAACCTTTATTGAGTACTGACTAATGCAAGGCAAAAAGACAAAGTCCTTGACTTCATTGAGTTTATAAACTAGTGGCATTTTTATAGTAATATACTCATTCATCAGTTTGTTCACTGATGCCTTGATCCATTAAGAAATTCATCAAGTGAACTTTTTAATGTTCTTAGTATTGTATTTCTTAGAATTAGTTATCTTAAAATTAGTGAGCAAGTATGTGCAGCAGCACTAACAGAAAAATGTCCTAATAATAAACAAACTATATATGCAGTATGATTTTCACCTGAAATGCTGATTCAATTCCAGCGCAGATGGAAGTTCCTCCATTAGCTACTGTAGGCAAACTATTCAAGAGCTGTTTTTTTTCATTGCTGCTTGTTATTTGGATTAGCTTACTTTTAATGTTGGCAGTACTATCAAAATGCACCATCCCCACCCAGGATCCATTTCCAGTAATCTGCAGCAGGAAATGTTTTGCTGCTTGATTCATTCGATTTAGGCGATTAAAATTCTGAATAAAAAAGGACAAGAAAAACAATCAAGTGGTTTTCAACTAGAAAATATTAGCACATCACATAAAATGAGTAAGCAGAATTTCTTGTTAAAAATATTTCATCGTCTATGGCCATGCCACCCTGAGCAAGCCCGATCCTTTCTGATCTTGGAAGCTAAGCAAGGTCGGGCCTGGTTAGTACTTGTGCTAACCTAGTACCTAGGAAGACCAGGTGCTGTAGGTGTAGGAAAAAAAAAAAAAAAGAATTTTCTATCAATAGTAATTGGTATTATTAAAGAAAGCAAGTACTTTTTATTTGATAGAATTTAAAAATATAGTTAAATTTTACAGGACACTTACAGCATAGTAAGGAACGCAGGCTTTTAACTACAGGTGATTCTTGGCTGCTAAGCACCCAAATTACAGGTGGAGGTTGGTGGTGTTGAGTGGAATTGGTGGGTGATGACTCACTTTTTAGAGACTTCTCAATTAGTCCTGGGATCCTCTGTTCTAGTTGAACAAGATGAAACCACTCCCCAGATCCCACAATATCGAACCAGACTACCATGGACTCTAATTAGAGACTGAAATCTCCCCATCCACTGAAGACTGGAAAACTAAAAAGTTGAAACTTTCTCGAGTTGCAGCTATAATCTGAGAGGCCTAGTTACTACCTCTTCTGCTCCTAACCTCTCCCAACCACTTCTACACCAATGGATTAATTGGAATTGGTTCTTTGATAACTCATTAAGACCTACATCCTTCTTTTCTAGGTGAATGCCCAGGATGTAAGCCTCTTCATACATTTGCTTTTCCAGTCCCTCAACATCAACTGATCTTTAGTACCTCCCCTTAACACATGCCCAAATTTTTCTCTGAACTCCCTAGAACAAATCATAGTGAGAAACTTCTACATCCCCATCTTTGAGGGCTCTCTCTGCCATTTTGCTTTACCTTTAAACCTGACTCTGCCTGCACCCTGTCTAGGAGTCTCTCAATCAGGAATGTCATCTCTCCCCAATGACACTTCCTAGAGCACTTCTATGTGCTGGTGTCTAGCACTCTGATGCTCTTTTGAAAGCCATGTGCTATTGTGGATTATTTCATTCAGCTGTAGCATTCTCTGGATTATTTCATTCAGCTGTATCATTCTCTGCCCTTTTCATTAACCATTTGTTGAAGACATTATTCCTGATCTTTAGCATGCTCAGTCCTGCCTCAAATGTGCCATCCTTTCAGGTGCCTTATAACATTACATCTGCTGGTTTGTGTTCCATTCATTTCAACAATTATTTATTGAGCACCTACATGTGATAAACTCTTTTCTAAGCAAAAGGGATACAAAGGTTAATAAGACATGTTTTCAAGCAGTAAAGGATATGGTTCCTAGAGGATACAGTTCTCAAAACTAGAGGAGCTCTTAGTCTAATGGGAGAGAAATGAGTATTTTCAATATAGCATACAGTAATAGAGGTTTGCACCGTTCATTGTGGGAGACCAATAAAAAGGCATTTAGCCCAGCCTGGAAGACCAGCCCATTTCGTGGAGGAAGTGAGTGCCTGCACCAAATTTTGAAGAATGAGAATGAGTTAACTAGGTGATGGGAAGGGAGAGACAGTTTTCTCTATGCAACCGTGAACCCTTCAAGGATATGGGTCTCTATCCCTAGAGCCTAGCACAATGCCTATTATTTACTAAATGATAGTAGAAGGAATGAATGGCTGAATTTGACCATATCTTCTTTCTGGTGTTGCTCTTTGTTTGTGTCTTTGATCATAAAGAGGTGATTTATATAAATGATAAATAAGACTGACTCAGAATGGAGTTCAGCAATTCACTCAATCTCATGTCTGTCAATTATTTCCAGTAGATAAAGGGGGCAAGTAAGAAAACATTTCCATATTTCAGTCTTTTGTTCTAATCTTCTAACTAAATCTTTACTGATGGGCCTAAAAGTCCTCCTCATTAAACTGTCCATTTTCTGGAAAACAAACAAACAAACAGAGACTCTCAAGTTAGGTCTTTTAAACTTTATTGCCATCCTTCTTTCATTACAATATTTAATGCCTGTCCTGTGGTCATGATCAAAGGAAGCGATGGGTCTTATGCCACCATGTAAGTTAGAGTAACCCAAGTAAAGACAGTGTTCAGGGTGTTCTTAGGTATTAAACTACCCACTAGTTGCCACATCCCGGAAAAATAGGCTCACGGACTTACCGCCATGCTTCCAGACTTATCGAGAACTAAGCACACAATTCTTTCACTGATCCTCAGCAATGAGAAGACAGGTGGAGGGGGTAGTCCCACCATAGGTGTGGTGCTTTTTAAATCCTCAGAATTGCTGATCACCTCCCATGTGCTTCTGGCGTTGCACATTTTGTTTTGTAGGCTCGGAGCTTCTCGGTTATGGTTTTTTTCATTACAGAATTTAACGACCTAAAAGGTTAATAAAATGAAAAAAAAAGATTTTATATATGACGAATTTAAAAATTCAACAACAAATTTGAAAAAATTTGCTACAAATATGCTGTTTATTTAATGAAATATGATTCAGTGAGGAATCATATATTAGTAAGGAGGATTTTCAATAATAGTAATAATAAGTAACACTAGTTGAGTGTTTGCTATGTAACAGTCAATGTTCAAAGAACTCTATATTAATGCGTTTAATCTCTCAGGTCACCTGCCCAGATATTTTATAAATATGATATATGTTCTTTGATTATAAATATACAGTATGAAGTAATAATTGGTATACTCACAGAGTCAATACTTTGCATAAACATTATCGATGTCTTTTCAGTTTGCTCTTTATCAGGGAAGAATTGACAATCTTTTTCATACAATTTTGTCTTAGAATCAATTCTGCATCTATTAATTGCACAGCTGTTTCCTTGACACTTATAAACTCTATTTATACCTGTAATACCTGTGGAACACCTGAAAATATATGACAGTTAGTCTTTGAGGCAACCTAACCGTTAACATTTTTTTAAAATCTTAAGTATCTATTCACAGTGATCCTTATAGCAAGGTTTTATTCTTATATGTGTATCACACACATCCTATTTTGACAGCAAAGTTTAAAGGTTTCTCCCAGAGCAGTTTTCCAAGAAATTTCAGAAGGAAATTTTAAGTGGGATCTCCAGTATGTACAATGGCTGAGTTCTCTATCAAGACTAAAGTTGCTGCTGACCTGCTTATACTAATGGCTGTAGATTCCCCCTTTCCAAACATCCCTCCTTGTAGCCTTGTGGTGGTAAATGCGTTGTAAGCATCTGGACAAGGCAACCTGTGAAACCATGTACCCTTGGTACCATCTTAGCTTAAAGTTCTTTGTAGGTTTCTTTTCAAAGAAGATATCCCCAAAAGAATGAGATGTGACATAACTACAAGTGTTTTGGTTATTTGAGGAGAATTTTTATCCAAAGTGAAATGTGGCTTTAAGGAAAAAGACTGAGATGCTGCCTGGGACAGTAGAATCAAGAATGGTGGAGGCATTTTAGATATATATTTCATTTCATGCAATTGGCCACAGGTGGCGGTGATTATAACAAACATGCTGGAATGTGAATATATCTCATCTTTTCAATGCGTTTCCAGTTCAAATTTAAGAAGCAATGATTAAATTTCATTTAGTCACTTAGGGAGTCTCCTACATATACGTATGCTTCTATTGCCCCCAAATTCAGTGAATATAATGATGTTAGTTATGTTAACAATCATGATGAATTTTCTGCAGCAGAAACTAGACAATTAGGGGGAATATGATATAAATAGACATAATCAATGTAATACTCTTTAAATTACATGTCCTGAAACCGGTGCTATGGGCTGATGGAGGGCCTTCATTAAAATCATATATCATTTGTTTGCACATTTTTGATAAGCCTCCAGCCCCAGCAGGGCATCTAAAATTGATTAAACTGATGGCACACAATTTTAGATAGATTTTCTTCAAACAATCTGCTCTCTTGACCTTAGAACTAAGAGGATTGTCTATTATTAACTGTGATGTTAGATTGGTATTTTAAAGTTAGTTTTGTAAATCCCAAGAAATTTGTTTGTCCTGTGTGGCTCCTTAAGCTGTTTGACTTTTTACTCAGCCTACAGTTACCACTATTTATTAACAATTTTTTTCATTCTTGTGTAATAAAAATAATTTTGATCTCCAAGCATATAGTACAGTCCTTTACACAGAGCACAACTTCAGTGTAAATGAGTTCTGGCAGCCATGGCGGAGAGATATAAAAATATGTCAGCTTGACTTCCAAATGTTCTCGATGTTATGAGTATTTTAAATGGGCAACCAGCTACTTCGAGATACATTTTCTTAAACCCAGAAAAGCACTGTTTTGTGATATAGCATCTATTATCTGCACTGGGACAAAATGAATGATTGGCATTTCAGAGAAATCAAACTAAGGAAACAAGAAGTTACAGCCCGAAGTAATTGAAGAAAATTTAAATAGTCATGCCTTGTTGCTTCAATTTTTTTTGACTTAGCACTGTAGTAAGGCTCATTGTCGTTGTATTCATCAAATACTCCCCAGCGGAGATGGGCCCACTCATGGACAAACCGTCTACCTGTGGGAAACATATTTCAAATACATGATCATAATTCAAGTGACAAAATTTGCCCCTCAAAAATTTTAAGAAATGTTGTTTAAATAAAAAAATAATTATATTTTGTTTTTAAATAACTGCCAACATTTATATTTTTGTTTATAAAAAGCATATAGCATTACATTGAATTATAGCATGTTATAATGGTATATTATTTCTTATTCTACAACATGTTAAATCAATGAAACATTTATTATGTATATGCTATGGGCAGAATAGACTGAGCTTTGGGTTTTGGTTCTGGGGGAGCAAAAAATCTTAGATATAACAATGTTTTTTAACTCTACAGTGTTCGCTTCTACTAACATAAACAGATATGTAATGTATTTGTGGCACTAAAATTTCATGAGAGTGTAATTAAATGTTAAAAAAATGTCTATACAGCAAAAGTTGAAAATCACATGATATCACTTATATGTGGGATATAAACCTAAAAGCAACAAATGAGCAGGACAAACAGGGACTCATAGTCATGGACTTTAGGCTTTATAGACTAGTGATTACTAGTGGGGTAGGGGAAGAGGGTGGAGGTAGACAGGATTAAGGGGATCATATATATGGTAGCTGAAGGAAACTGGACTTTGAGTGGTAAACACACAATAGAATATACAGATGTCAAATGATAATGTACACCTGAAAATTATATAATTGTATTAACCAATATTACCCCAATAAACTTAATTAAAAGAAAAGATTGAAAAACACTGCTATAGACCATATAAAATGTTGGGAGTATCTAAATGAAGTGATTAATTTATATTACTTAACACATATAAACATTAATTATATAAAAATAATTGCTATTAATTATATATATTCAGTGCTATGCTAGGTACTAGGAAATATAAAGATGAGTAAGTTATATTCCTTCATTAGGATAAACTTACAGAGAGGAAGTCAGAATAAAAAAAAAAATTTCCTAAGAATTTCAGGGTAAATGGAAGAATAAAGATAAATCCACAGCTTGAAATACAGGAAGAAAAGCAAGTAGAATTTTTGTTTTATCAATGTTAGGAAAAACTTTAAAGGAAATAGAAATGGAGAAGGAGAAGTAGCAAATAAGTCTGTTCTGCTAGCATATGTTTCTCTAACTCAAATTAACTCATAAAATCTGAAAATAGGGAGAAATTTTCAGTATCATGCAAAAGTCATCTTTCTTTTTAAAGTCCTTGCTACTCAAAATGTGTTCCTTGACCCAGCAGCATCAGAATCACCTTGTTAGGGAGCTAACAAGAAATGCATAATCTTGGGCCCGCTCTAGACCTACTAAATTAGAATCTGCATATTAACATGATCCCTAAGTTATTCCTCTACACATTAAACTTTAAAAACACTAGTTTAAAATTTCCTAGGCAAATGGAACGCAATTAGTGATTGTGAAATTATATATAACCTTCAGTATAGGAAGAAAAAAATCCTCATGTCAGTTACTGCAATAGGAATTTGGCAAATTTTAAGAAAATTTAAAACTGCCTGCACCTGTAGCTCTCTTTTTTATAGTGGTCCACTCTCAGACTTGCTTCTTTCTCGCTCATGGCAGGTTGCCCTGCCTCCCACACCCACCCTAATTTGATAAGAATAAAACATAAGGATAACAATGGTGAGGGAGTTGAGCTATTTATACTTGTAGTCGAAATGACTGACTTTGTTGGACATGCTACATAGGAAAAAAAAAAGTATAGCTAGAAGGGAGCAAAGGATTAGTTGTGCCAAAGTGAACATGGTCAGACTAAAGTATGAGGGAAAGTTAAGATTGAGATGGGATGAGTTGATGGAGCTTCCAAGACTGGGGTGCGGTATAGGTCCAGGCACTGATGAGAACCAGGGATAGCTGACTGTTTGACAGAATCAAGAGACCTGATTGAAGGGGCAGTGGAAGAAAGAGAGGTAATCTTGGAATATGCGGATTCAGAAGGTTTTCCTTGCATAACAACGTGTGAGTTGGGCCCTCCTTTCACAATAATTTGCATTTTATCTGAAAGAATGTGCTTTAGTTCATTTGAAACATGATCTTAACTTTTAGATTGAACTAGATGAAATTGCCATTTTTATAGGTAAAAGTTATCACTTATAGACAAATTCTTGTTTAACCAAATGGATTGAATGATAATATCAGCAACTAAAAGCCCAGCAGTGTTTTCTCTTGTCCAGGAACTGTAATCTTGGCTACTTTCAGCTCTTCACACAACTGCCTTCCATCAGGGTGACATGTGATTGATTTATATCCAGCTTTGGAGAACTGGGAGATAAGATCTACAAAGCATGCTTTAAGGAAAACACTTATTATTGCTGCCCTGTGTTCAAATTTCTGTAGACACTGTACTCAGTACAGTTGCACGGATTATCTAATTTAATATTCACAACAATTCTATAAAGTAGGAACTCCTCTATTCACCACTTCGCAGGAAGTAAACACAGATAGGCTAGCTCACTTGTCCAAGGTCATACATAGCTGAGAAGTAGGAGAGTCAGGATTTGAACTTAGGGACTCTGGCTCCAGGGCATATACGCTTAACCTGGGTACACAGATATTTGTTGGAAGCATTGCAAAATATATGTTAACCAAAATTCCTACCTCTTGGTCCATATTCATTTTGCTTTTTTCCAAGTACAAAGTCAGGAGAGAAATAGATGTATTCTCCTTTTTCTTCACAGGCTGTGAACTGTTTGGTGTATGGTTCATCTCTACCTCGGTGGGTAGGTGGTGCAACTAAAACATCGGCCTGAGAATGTTTAAAAAGATTTTTAAAACATCAGAAATAAAAATGACAACATTTAGTCTGAAAAACTCTGAAACAATCAATTTGCAACAAAATTGAGGAGAGCCATAAAATGTACTGTTTTAAGAGAAGTTTTTTGATTCTTACGTGTTTGTAGCTTTCATGTTTTGGTCTCTTGTATTGAGGATTTTTCTTCCAATTATCAGGAATTAGTATTGATACATTTTTGAAAAAAAGTCTTTTTTCTGTGGCTTCAAACAGGTAAGTAGAAGCTGTGGTCACCATGTCCTATTATTAAAGGAAAAAAATATGTGAGAATGGCCAAGTGACAGTGGACTAAATGAGCAGAGGTTCATTACAGGCATATCCCAGATTAAGAGTGGAGAGAAAAAGCAACTGACTAGTAAAAGAGTTTCTGCTTCAGAATTCCAACTCCGCCACCATCAGTCCAAAATTATAGCCTAGTCCTGTACATTTAAAGGTTGTGAATCTTCCATAATTCTTCAGCAAAAGGCAAATGCATCTATTTGGTGTTAAGAGAAATTGCATAATATGATAAAGATCATCCGCTTGGTTCCAGTGCTGATATTAGCACTTTCTGGGTGATAGATCTTGGCCAATCTATATACACTCTGAAGCTCAGTTTCCTCATCTCTCAAATGGACTATTACTACCTATCTTTAAGGTTGGCATAAACACGAAATGAGTTATAAAATGCTTGATACAAAGATAGTCATAAAACTGGTTGATTACTGTTTATCAGTCACAGCCTTAGCTTATGCAAGCTGAGGAGAACAGTCTGTAGGCATGAGTTATGGGAGAGGATTTTCATTACATACCCATTCCTTCAGTAGAGGCAGCTAGGTTGTAGTCTAGGGGTGAGGTGATGGAAAAAATTCATAGTAGAGGTGGAGCTTTTGGACCATAGGGAGAGCTTGTTTCTCTACTATCAAGCTGAAAACATTATCATCTTATATTTGTTCAGTATCCTGAACCTAAAAATATAATGATTAATAAAAGAAATAATCCTAACCTAGAGCTTAATATCTAGTGGGGGAAATAGATGGATTAAAGAGCTTTATGGTAATTTAATCTACATGATCAAACCCACTGAATAAATTGAGGAATCCTGGGTGTTGGATTATGATGTCAACCTCTTTGTCTTGCTGGCAGCATCCCAGTCTATGGTGTTGTTTTCTTCGAGGGAGGGTCTGTTCCCCATGTTGCTTCTTGACCTAGCATAAACGCACAATAGAACTGTTCTCCTTCAGGAATTACAGGGCTCTCTTCTCTGTTCTGTTGAAGACAGTCCAGTGTGCTGACTCATATATACTGAAGAGAACAGCAAAGTAACTGGGTTCAGAGGCCTGGGATCAGTCAGAAGGCCAGAATTCAAAGTACTGAAGGCCCAGAGGACTAACTGGGAGTAAGGAAAGGTGCTTTGAAGAGCTCCCAAAGTGAGTTGGAGGTTACTTCATCACTGGCCTAAAGCAGATGAAAGAATTCTCTACCTGTTCCCTAAGGATACCTCCTCTCTCTTTTTATTTTAGGATATTTAGATCTCAATGGGTTGTTGTCATCTGCTTGAAGTAATGGCTCTCTCTATGCCCGTGAGATAAGAGAGTGTATAGTGGTTGAATTCACCGACAAGAAAAGAGGACTCAACATTAGAAATGAAAGGGGAAATGTTACAAGTAATAGCACAGAAATGCGAAGAATCATAGGAGACTATTATGAAAAATTAGATGCCAACAAATTGGAAAACCTAGAAGAAATGAAAAAATTCCAGGAAATGTACAACATAACAAGACTGAATCATGAAGAAATAGAAAATTTGAACAAACCAATTACTAGTAAGGAGATTGAATCAGTAATCAACCATCCTCATCAAGCAACAAACAAAAGTCCAGGACTAGACAGCTTCACTGGTGAATTATACCAAACATTCAAAGAAGAATTAATACCAATTCTCAAACTCTTCCAAAATAGAAGAGGAAGGAACATTTTGAAACTCATTTTATGAGGCCAGAATTACCCTGATACCCAAACCAGACAAGGACACCACAAGAAAATATAGGCTGATATCCCTAATGAGCATAGATACAAAAATTCTCAACAAAATTATAGCAAACTGAGTTCAATAATACATTAAAATGATCATATACCACAATTAAGTAGTATTTATCCAAGGGATACAAGGATGGTTAAATGTCTGCAAACCAATCAACATGACACAACATTAATGAAGTGAAAGGTAAAAATCATATGATAATCTCAATAGAAGCATTTGACAAAATTTAATACCCATTTATAATAAAACTCTCAACAATGTTGGGGTAGAAGGAACATACCTCAAAATAATAAAGACCATACATGACAAGCCCTCAGCTAACATCATACTTAATGGTGAAAAAAAAAATGAAAGCTTTCTAAGATCAGGAACAAGACAAGGATGCTCACTCCTGGCACTTTTATTCAACACAGTTTTGGAAGCCCTAGCCAGAGCAATGAGGCAAGAAAAAGAAATAAAAGTCATTCGAATCAGAAAGGCAGAAGTAAAACTGTTGCTATTTGGAGATGGCATGATATTATATATGAAAACCCTAAAGACTCCACCAATAAACCATTAGAATTACAAATGAATTTAGTAAAGTTGCAGGATACAAAATCAATAGAAAAAAATATTGCCTTTCTATACACTAATAACATACTATCAGAGAGAGAAGTTAAGAAAGCAATCCCATTTACAATTGCATCGAAAAAGAATAAAATACCTAAGAATAAATTTAACCAAAGAGGTGAAAGTCCTGTATACTGAAAACTATAGAACATCGATGAAGGAAATTGAAGAAGGCACAAATAAATGGAAAGATATTCCATACTTATGGATTTGAAGAATCAATAGTATTAAAATGTTCATACTATCCAAGGCAGTCTGCAGATTCAATGCAATCCCTAACAAAATGCCAATGGTATTTTTCACAGAAATAGAACAAACAATTCTAAAATTTGTATGGAACCATAAAAATTCCTGAATAGCCAAAGCAATCTTGAGAAAGAACAAAGGTGGAGGCATCACATTCCTTGATTGTAAACTATACTACAAAGCTATCATAATCAAAATAGTATGGTATTGGCATAAAAACAGACACAGGAGTCAATGGAACAGAATTGAAAGACTGGAAATAAACACACACATATATGGTCAATTAATTTATGACAAAGGAGCCAACAATATACAATTTGGAAAGGACAATCTCTTCATTAAATGATGTTGGCAAAACTGGAAAGATCCATGCAAAAGAATGAAACTGGACATTGTCTTACTATATATAAAAACTAACTCAAAATGCATTAAAGAATGTCAAACCTGAAACCATAAAACTCCTGAAGAAAACATAAACAGTAAGCTTGCTGATGGTTTTTTGGATTTTACACCAAAAGCAAAGGCAATAGCAAAAAAAAATCTGATTTAAAAATGCACACAGGATCTGAATAGACTTTCCAAAGAGACATACAAATGGCCAACAGGTACATAATAAAGTGCTTGGCATCACTAATCATCAGGGAAATGCAAATCAGGATGACAGTGAGTTATCACCTCACATCTGTTAGAATGACTATTATCAAAAAGACAAGAAATAATGAATAATTCATTGGTAAGAATGTGGAGAAAAGGGAATCCCTGTGCACTTTTGGCAGGAATGTAAATTGGTGCAGCCAATATGGAAAACAGTATGGAGATTCCTGAAAAAAAAAAAATTTAAAGTAGAACTAGCATTTGATTCAGCAATTCCACTTCTGGGTATTTAAACAAAGGAAATGAAAACACTAATTCAAAAAGATATGTGTACCCTCATGTTAGTTGCAGAATTATTTACAATGGCCAAGACATGGAAACAAACCTAAGTGTCCATAGGTGGATGAATAGATAAAGAAGATATTGTATATATAAACAATGGAATATTATTGAGCCTTAAAAAGAAGGAAATCTTTCCATTTGCAACAATGTGGACAGAACTTGAGGGCATTATGCTCACTGAAATATGTCAGACAGAGAAAGACAAATACTGTACAATCTCACTTATATGTGGAATCAAAAAAAAAAAAAAGGAAAGAAAAAGAAAAAACACCAAAAATGGAGCTCATAGATTCAGAGAACAAATTGATGGTTGCCAGAGGCTTTAGGATGTATGTGGAGGTGGGGTTGGCTAAATGGGCGAAGGGGGTCAAAAAGTACAAACGTCTATTTATGAATAAGTCATGGTGATGTAGTGTACAACATGGTGACTGTAGTTAATAATACTGTATTGCATATTTGAAAATGCTAAAAGATTAAATCTTAAGTTCTCACACAAAAAATATTATAACTATGTTATGATGCGTGTTAACTAGATTTATTTTGGTGATAGTTTTATAATATATATGAATATAAAATCATCACATTACATACCTTAAACTAATGCATATCAATTACATCTCAAAATTTTTTAAAAGGTGTATGTGGTGGTTTGAATTATGATACCAACTGGAAAAGTAGGGTCACTGCATACAGTTGTGTGGGTTGTACATTGTATAATTCCAGAAGATTTCATTTACTTTGGAGTTTCCATGGCCTTTTGTGACTACCTTGGGTAATGGTATGTTCTCAGGTCATGGAGGTATTTCAGAAACTCTCTTTCAGGTGACTATAATCTCTTGGAACACACTAGAGTGGCTAATAATGGTTCACGCAGACTTTTCAAACAGAATTCCTATAATATTCCTTGTAAATTGTTTTTCAGAATTCCTATAATTTTGTAGTTGGATCAGAGAAGATTAAGATATCAATGTTTCCAAAAATAAGTACTCTCAAACTAAAAAGATATATGAATACAGGAATAAAGAAAGTTGACAATTGACATCTCAGGTTGTAAATTATAAATCAATTCAGCATAAAACTTATCGTGGTCAGGTAGTAGCCCAGGCATAAGGTTATATGTCCACATGTTTGGTTCACCAATTATAAAAAAGAATGATTTTTATCATACCATAAAGGCCAGAACTCAAACCCAAGGTCTCTGAGTCTTCAAAGCCCATGGGCTGGATCTCTACTCTAATTGCACTACCTGGGAAATCTTTGAAAAATTATTTAATTTCTCCAAATCCTAGTTTTCTCTTCTGTATAATGTGGATGATAGCTTTTTACATGGTTTTGTGATATTATAAATGCAAGAACTTTGTAGAGGGCTGAGAGAATGTCATGAAACATTTTGTGATCTAGGAATGTCTACTAAAACTTGAATTTTTACTTATAGTTTCACTAAAAGACCATTTTAGCAAACTTTTTTTACCCCTATAAATAATCCTTCCAAATACTGCTTTCTGAGATTCAGAATTATTTGAAACTGATTGACTGTCCCTGGACACTAAGAAGCCGTCACTCAGAATCAGCCGTATTAACTGCTATCCAAGCTTATGTTCTTTGGTAAAGGGCTATTTACCTTACCTTGTAATTTAAAAGGTATCAGTACATAAATACCACTATACTGCGAGTGTTTATACAGAATGAGTGATAAATGGCAGCCACAGAATCACCTGCTCACAACTCAGGTTATTCTTATCAGCTTCTGATGGGTAACAACACCCATGCAGAAGCTGATATAACAGTGAGCATAAGGACACAACAGCTGTAAAAGAGCAGGAGGAAGGGCGGGAGAGCTAAAGTTGGAGAGTTAGCAACGCAGTGCTGGAATGGACAGTGGGAATTGGAAGCTCTAGATAGGGTAGTGGAGGAAATAAATATAAAGAATTAGTAGATGTTGATGTAAAGGACAGGGGAAACAAATTTACATGGCTGTAAAACCAATCTATTTCAAGGAATGATATAGCTGAAATAAACTTTAGGGATACAATTCTTGGTTCAGTCCTGGAGCCTTTATCTTCTCCATTTGCACTACCTAATGAACTCATGTGTTCTCATGGCTTTGAATCTCATCTACACACCGATAATTCCCAAATTTTTATCTTCTTCCAGGTTTTCCTCCTGAACTCTGATTCCTATCTCCATCTATGAGGATATCTAGTAAGCATCTACAAATTCAAATGTCTCAAACTAACTCCTGATGTCTAAATTGCCCAATAATCTCCATTTAAGTCTTGCCCTTCTCAGTTGATAATTCCATCTTTCCAAGTGTTCAGGCAAAAACCCTTAAAGTCTTGACTCCTGTCTTTCCCTCCTACTTTCCCCTACTCCACAAGCATCTAAACCATCAGCAAATTTGCCTGTGATTCCTTCAGATTATGTTTAGAATCACACTACTTTATGATCTCTACCATAATATCCCTGTTCCTAGTCACCATCACTTCACATCTGCAGTAGCTTCCTATCAGGTATTTTTCGGCACCTCTGTGCTGCACAGGGCTTATACAAGATGCATGACAAGTGGAAGCTCTCAACAGTTTCTTCAACATTACAGTCAGAGTGATCCTAGAACATGCACAAGAGAGCACACCTGACCTCTGCTCAGAATCTTTCCATGGATTGAGGCTTATCACATTCAGAGTAAAAGCCCAAGTCTTTCCAGTGGTCTGGACCCTGCTACCTCTCCAACTTTAGCTCTCCCACCCTTCTTCCTGCTCATTTACAGTTGTTTCTACATCAAGCATGCTTTCACCTCTATGCTGCTGCACCCTCTATTCCCTCCTCTAGATTTTCAATGGGCTCTTCCCTCACTCATCTCAGGTTCCTGCTTAGATTTCACATCAACAGTGAGGCTTTCCCTGACTACCCTACATGAATGAGTAATCCATATTCTCCCCCTACCCCGGCCCCAACAATACTGCCTATTCCTCTTTGCTGATTTATTTTACTCCATAGCAACTTACTACCAACTAACCCGCAACACATTTACACGTTTTTATTACCTAGATCTTAAAAGAATGAACACATCAAGAGGACAGGGGCTCTTTCATTCACTGTTGTCCTGCCATAAGCATTCAATAAATAATTGTTTAAAGAATGGACAAGTCCGACTGCTCATTTACAGATGAAGAAACTGAGGATCGGGGAGGCCCTGTGGCTTGTCTTTGATCTTATGCTGAGACAGGGTAGAACCCTGTCTAGAGCCTCCAATTCTCACTATCCATTTCAGCATTATCCTCACTGCATCATGCTGCTATAAACTTTATGGTGTATTCAGAAGTTTCTGTAATAATTATTAACTACTATTTTTTTTCTTCTCTATAATTCAAGCAGAAAAAAATCTCATTTCTTTCTTACCTTTATTTGTTCAATTAGTGTTTCATCTTCTGGCACACCAGGGTCTATAGCAATGATAATGCCTTCAAAGCCATTGGCATTCAGCTGAACAAGGGAAGTATTGGACCCCGGCAGCAGGTATAGGACTAAGAAGAAGACACAATTCCTGAATAACCCCATTGTTCAGGAGTTGTTTCTGGCCTCAATGTTGGTTTGTTCAAAAGGCTTTTCTATGATCTTCTCTCTCTCCATATATATGTACTCCTCAACCTTATTAGGTGTGGCTGATTATGGTTTGGTTTGTTGACTGTATAAAGGTCAGTATTACATGTGTGGAACAGTATTTGACTTCGGTTTACATGATTGTTTTATTGTACATTTTTGTAAAAGTGATCATAAAAATAGAAGTAATTGGGTCTTTTTATAAAATACATTGCACATTTTAACTTGAGAAGCTTATTTTATACTTTCTAATTTTGGTTAATTTCTTAAATGTAGATATGTACTTTGTATTTTCTGTAGAATGTAAAAATTGGTAAAATTTCATAATAAAACAAATGGAAATAATAATGTTAATGTTTTTCAGTTTTACAAAGGAATTTAATTATTACATGTAAATATCACCAAATTAGATAAGATGGCTTTGAAATCTAAATTAAAAACTTTAAATACTTTGATAAATTAAAGATTTAATAAAGTTATTAGAGTAAATTAAAAAAAATCCTGCCCAGTAAAAAATGAATAGAATTAGCTTTCATATAAGCATATCAAAAAGTATGGTAGAATGTCAACTATCGATTTTTGAAATTTATTTATTTAAATTAGTTTCAAATATACAGTACATTGGTTAGACATCTACGTAGTTCATAAAACGATCCCACAATTGCTTCCTCCCTCCCCTGGCCCTCCACCTAGCCATCATATTAATGCTAACTGCATTCCCTATGCCATGCTGTGCTCCCCATCCCCGTGACCATCTATCAGCTACTAATTAGTATTTCTTTAACCCTTCACTCCAATTCCCCCAGTCCCCCAATCCACCCCCTCTGGACGTCACCAGATTGTCCTCTATAGTTGTGAGTCTGTTTTTGATTAGTTTCTTCTTTTTGTTCCTTAGATTTCACATGTAAGTAAAATCATATGGTATTTATCTTTCTGTCTGACTTTTTTCACTCGGCATAATAACATCTTGGTCTACGCATGTTGCAAAAGGTAGGATTTTATTTTTTTTAATGGCTGAGTAATATTCCATTGTATATATGAACCATAACTTCTTTATCCAATTGTCTGTTGATGGGCATTTAGGTTGCTTCCATATCTTAGCCATTGTAAATTGTGCTGCCATGAATACTGGGGTGCATAGATCTTTACGAATTATTGTTTTGGTTTTCTTTGGATAAATACCCAAAAGTGCAATTGCTGGGTCAAAAGGTATATCCGTTTTTAATTTTTTGAGAAACTTCCATACTGTTTTCCATAGCGGCTGTACCACTTTGCAATCCCATCAACAGTGTATGAGGGTTCCCTTTTCTCCACATCCTTGCCAACACTGGTTGTTTTTATTGATGATAGCCATTCTGACAGGTGTGAGGTGATATCTCATTGTGGTTTTAATTTGCATTTCTTTAAAGGTTAGCGACCTTGAGCATCTTTTAATATGTCTATTAGCCATCTGTATTTCCTCTTTGGAGAAGTATCTTTTCAGGTCTTCTGCCCATTTTTTAATTGGATTGTTTGTTTTTTTGTTTTTGAGTTGTATAAGTTGTTTATATATTTTAGATATTAACCCCTTATCATTAGTGAATATCTTCTCCCAAACAGTCGGTTGTCTTTTTGTTTTGTTGATGGTTTCCTTTGCTGTACAAAACTTTTTTAGTTTTATGTAGTCCCATTTGTTTATTTTTTCTTTTGTTTCCCTTGCTTGAGCTGATGTATTTGAAAAGAAATTCTTGTTAGTAATATCAGAGAGTTTACTGCCTATATTTTCTTCTAAAAGTTTTGTAGTTTTGGGTCTTACATTTAAGTCTTTAATCCATTTTGAGTCTATTCTTGTATCTGGTGTAAGAAGGTGGTCCAGCTCTTTTTTTTTTTTTTTGCATGTATCTTTCCAATTCTCCCAACACCATTTATTGAAGATACTGTCTTTACCCCATTGTATATTCTTACCTCCTTTGTCATATATTAAGTGAGTGTATAGGCATGGATTTATTTCTGGGCTCTCTATTCTGTTCCATTGATCAGTGTATCTGTTTTTATGCCAGTACCATGCTGTTTTCATTATTGTAGACTTGAAGTATAGTTTGACATCAGGTAGTATACCTCCAACTTTGTTCTTCTTTCTCAAGATTGTTGTAGCTATTCGGGGTCTTTTCTGGTACCATATAAATTTTAGGATTATTTGTTCTAGTTCTCTGAAAAATACCATTGGAATTTTTATAGGGATTACATTGAATCTATAAACTGCTTTGGGTAACATGGCCATTTTAATAATGTTGATTCTTCCTACCCATGAGCACAGTATATGCTTCTATTTATTTGTATCTTCTTCAATTTCTTTTTCAATGATAT